AATTTCTCACCTGATGGCCCCCCTGCGACTGTGCCTGTCTTAGGTTGTTCCTCCCTTGAGGAATCTTACCCGTCTCTGGCTAACCAGTCATCTTCCGGGGCCATACAGGGAGATGTAAAGTTGGTAAGTGAGAGAGAAGCCATATTGTTTGAAAAGGTTAGGTTTTTACTTGTTTGCAGATTTATGCCCTGTGGCTTCTATGCCCAGCATTTGTCTTGAGGTATCTTTACCACTTGGAGGAATTATGATACACGGTAAATTCGATATGAGGCACTAATTCTATTTAAGGATTGTAATTAGGAAGGAAGAAGAAAAGCTGTAGAGGTAGCAGACGGAAGAAAACATGGGAGGATTGATTATTTCTTTGACTTATCTTCTTGTAGAGTAACAAGCACGTATAGGTTTTAAACTACTAATTAAATTGCACACAAACATTAACATAATAGGAATACAGTTACATAACCAAAGCAGATCTATAATTACCAGCCATCTCCAGTGAAGTAATGTTTTGATTTTATAAAACTTTATTGTGGTAAAAATCACATAACAAAAAATGTATCATCTTAACCATTTCTTAGTGTATAGTTAATTATATTCACATTGTTGTAAAACAGATCTGCAGAACTTTTTCATCTGAAACTATATGCACCTTGTTGATTTTTCATATGAAAACTATATTTCATCTGAAACTATATTCATCCTTGTTGATTTATTTTTATCTTAACATATTTAGAATATTACCATAACTCTGGAGGCGAAATTACATGAAAAGGTACAGACAGAAAAGTGTTACTCCTGCCCCTCTATTTACATAATTATTAAACAACTTCCCTTTTCCCCCTCTGCCACAATCCTGGTAACCACCATTCTACTCTGTTTCTTGACCAATTTAAGTACCTCATATAAGTAGAATCATACAGTATTTGTCTTTTGGCGACTGGCTTATTTCACATAGCATGTCCTCAAGTTTCATGTGTGTTGTAGCATTTGGCAGAATTTTCTTCTTATTTAAGGCCGAATAATATGCCATTGCATGTATATACCACATTTTGTTTATCCATTCATCTGCTGATGGACATCTGGGTTGCTGCTACCCCTTGGAATCATGCTGTCATGAACATGATGTGCAAATATCTCTTCCAGACCCTGCTTTCGATTTGTTTGGACATATACCCAGAAGTATGATGGCTGGATTATATATGGTTGTTCTATTTTTAATTTTTTGAGGAAACTCCTTACTGTTTCCCATAACAGTTGCACCATGTTACAATCCCACCAATAGTGCACAAGTGTTCCATTGTCCTCATATCCATAAATAAACAAATAACACTTGTTATTTTCTGGGTTTTGGATAGTAGCCATCCTAATTGGTGTGAGGTGATATTTCATGATGGTTTTGACTTGCATTTCTCTGAAGACTAGTGATGTTGAGGATCTCTTCATCTGCTTGTTGAAGATTTGTATATCATTTTTGGAGAAATGGCTATTCAAATCCTTTGCCCATTTTTTAATTGGATTATTGGATTTTTTATTGTTGAATTATAGGAGTTCTTTATATATTCTGGATATTAACCCCTTATCTGATAAATGATTTGCAAATAGTTTCTCCCATTCTTTACGCTACTTTTTGCTCTGTTGATTTTGTCCTTTGATACAAAAAGTTTTTAAGTTTGATGTAGTACCATTTGTCTAATTCTGTTTTTGTTGCCTATGCTTTTGGCACCATTCAAAAATAGCATTTCCAAGTCCAATGTCATGAAGCTTTACCATGTGTTCTCTTCTAAGAGCTTTATAGTTTTAGGTCTTACATTTAGGTCTCTAATATGTTTTGAGGTAACTTTTGTATATGGTGTAAGTGTCCAGTTTCATTCTTCTGCCTGTGGAAATTCAGTTTTCCCAGCACCATTTGTTGAAGACACTGTCCTTTCTCCATTGAGTGCTCTTAACACCCTTGTAGAAGATCAACTGACCATGTCCTCCAACTTGGTTCTTTTTCAAAATTGTTTTAGTGATTTCAGGTCCCTTTTGAGATGCCATATGAATTTTAGGATGAATTTAGCAGCTTAATTTTTTAACTAAGCAATATTCCTTTATTTATCCACATTAGTACATGTATATCTATACTACCTTCTTGTAACAGTATTACAATTTCCTCTGACTATTACACAAAATGATTGTCATTTTAGCTGTTCCAATTTTCACTGCTTTTCATTGAGATTGATTAAATGTTCCTTTAATTTTAAATTAGTCAATGGGCTTAAGTGATTATAACAAAATGGTCTTTTTAATGTCATTTTAGCTAAATAAAAAATTAATACATAATTATTGTAGAAAAGTCAATGCAGAAAAATATAAAAACAAAAAACCCATAATCCCACAAAAATGATAGGCAATGAAGTCCAGATTTGGAAGATTATAGTACAGAGATTAAATATTAGATTCCCCCATATTTTAGTGGAAGGAACCAGAAAATAAACAAATAAATAAACAGGTAAACTAGAGAAAGTGAAACAAAGTACTAAGACTTCTATTCCAGATAGACTGGCCAGGGAACTTTCTGAAGAGGTTATATTTGAACAGAATATTGAATGAAAAATGGAATAAGTTATGTAGATATCTGGAAGATGTACATTCCATGCTCAGGGAAGGATGACTGCAAAGGTTTGAGATAGGAATATGTAAAGATATTGGAAGAAGAGGAAGGAGATTGAGTAACTGGAACCAGATGAAAGGTGCTGAAAGAAGTAAGTCATGAGGTTGGAAAGGTGGATTTTTGGGACTAGGCTATGTCAGGTCTTATGGGCCAGATTGAGTGATTTCATTCTAAGAGTGGTTACATAGGCCACTGGAGGGTTTGGGGAATGAGAGGCAAAAGCAAAAGAATAGACGTCAGCTAAGAGGGCAATTGCAGTGGTCCAGGAGACAGGTTATGGTAGCTGTGGTGAGATAAATAGGGCTGTCTCAAGAAGACGCAGGGCTCACACTCAGGGGCTGGGGTTCGGTATCAGGATTGCCCAGCAAGGCAGTGCTATTCTCTGCCTCACCTTCAACAACTGTCTCACCTTCTACCTTCAAGAAATCTAAGCCTGGCGCAGACTGTCAGGATCCAACCCCAGCTCTGCCTCTTACTAAGTATATGATCCTGAATAAGTTAATTTTCTGTGCTTCATTTTCTCTACTTCCTCATCTGTAAAATGGAGATGATCTATCTCTTAGATTCTTGTGAGGATTCTTGTGTTTTATTACATGCAAAATATCTAGAAAAAATGCCTACCACGTGACATAATAAGCATCAATAACTTTAGCTAATAATATCATTACTAGACATTTTCAAAATCTTGAATATGCTGTATCTCTCTCACCTGTAAACTTGGGCACCTGTTCTTTCCTATGCCTGAAAGTACTTTGCTTAATTAATTCCAAACTCATCCTCCAACTCTCAGCCTCAATGTCACTGCATCCAGAACTGTCCTGATCCCCTGGACTACTCTCAAGTCTCCTCTTGTCTCTTCCCTCACAACGCTATACTCCCCTCCAACAGTGACCCCATATTTTTCAATAATCACTTGTTGAATATTTTAACAAGAACAACATGTTCATATATCCACTCAATAAATATGGATTCAAAGAAAACTCAAGCCTAGGTACTATGCTAGGTGCTGGGTCAAGAGCAGTGAGCAAAATTCGGCTGAACACACTGCCTGGGCTCTTGGAGTTTCGTCTAGTGATGGATGATCAAAATAATGACAAAAATGAGTGTTAAGTATGGAAGGAAGAGACTCAGGTCTATAAAAGCATATTGCAAAGAAAGCCAGCCCTGACTGGATGAGTGAGAAAAGGTAGGTGGAGAAGAGCATCTGGAGGTGCTGGGGAAGCCACAGGAGGCTCGTGGCCTAGCTCCATTTACATACTCTCTCTGTGATTTTACTCAGGACTGCCTCTGCCCAGCATCAAAAGTGAGACATGTGCTCCGTATTACTGCTGATAATTCCCTGAGAAAGTAGCACCTGAGCCAAGAAAAATCCACATCTGTCACAGAGGTGATGGGGTGAGAGTAGGATAGAGTCGGGGAGTGGAGCTGAGGCACAGGGAAATGAGTGGGTAGGGAGGTTCTGGAATAGCAGGCAGTACAGGCACATTTGGAACACAAGAGCAAGGGGAGGGTAGTGGGAGAATGGCTGGAAAGTGTAAGGGTAGGTAGGGCCTGGCAGGCCGTCCAAAAAATTTCAAATTTATCAAAAGTAATCAAAAGCCCCAGGAAGGGCCTTGTTTGTTTTTGTTCCATTTTGTTCTATTTGCATTATGGTGATGTGACAGGGCCTGTGTTTTGAAAGTATTATTGAAACAACTGCATTGGTGGAGCGCTCCACCTAGTGCACCTGCCCAGGTGCCAGAAGATCCAGGCAGCAGAGTGGTCCAGGGGAGCAGCACCAGTAACTTGCCCTGAGTAGAGGCGGGAAATGGAGAGAAGTTGACCATTTCAAGAGATTTGATTACCTGTATGTTGTGGGCTGAACTGTATCCCCTATGAAATTTATATGCTGAAGCCCTATTCCCAAAACCTGAGGATATGACTGGATTTGAAGACACAGTTTTTAAAGATGTAACTAAGGTAAAATGAGGTCATTCTGATCCTATTATGACTGGAATCTTTATTAGAAGAAATGACTAGGACACAGGCACAGAGGGACACCATGTTAAGACACAGGGAGATAGCCATCTACAAGCCAAAGAGGGAGGCATCAGAAAGAGCCAAGCCCACCATTTTCATCTCAGATTTCTAGCCCTCAGAACTCTTAGAAAACAAATTTCTATTGTTTAAGCCACCCAGTCTGTGGTATTTGTTATGCTAGCCCTAGCAAATTAATACTCTGTGCAAAAAAAAAATTTAGGTGAAGAATAGAATCTTTGAAAAATAAAAATATACTCAATTTATTCTAATTAAAATCAGGGCTGTGTAAGATGGTAAAATTCAAACAAAAGAGCATTTCTTCAGTATTCCCAGCGATGGCTTCTGTGACACATCTGTATTGCCCCTAAAATGAGGAATAAGGAACACAAGTGAAATAAAATGTTAGATGCTTCTATTTTGAAAGACTTTTATAAGAATTTTGTCTTACTTAGGAGGAAGCCGCTTAAATCAAATTGGTTATCACTCTGTCAGTTTTCTAATGAGGTGAAATTCTTGAATGCCTTTGAATTTAGCAAGGATAAATCCATTTATTTCCCAATTATAAAAGGATGCTTTTTAACAATTGTTTGCAACTAGTCTATGAGATTTGCAAGCATTACATATAATTTGTAACAAAATAGGTAAAGAATATACATTGTTAAAGTTTATTTCAAAATAGTCACCAAAAGTGAAATGTGCAAAATTTCATTGCTAGTTATCTAATACAAACATCTAAAGTGACATTATTATTCAAGGAGGCAGTTACTGATTTATACAGAGTGATGATACAGTGCTTTCACCCAAGGATCACTCAACATATTAACAACGAGCATTTGCATTACTTTTAGCCATGTATGTTAAAGGGAAAAAATGAAGTGAAAAAGAACCTCCTTTTGTGTAACTTCAATTTTTCCATATTCTACAGAAAGATGAAATAGGAAAATACCCAAAGCCAAGTAAAAGTGAAAAAAAAACAAACTTGAACATCTTATTCTTGAATCACTACTTTAACAGTTGTAAAGTGCATGTTTCAAATTCTTAACACATCTGTTGCTGCAAAAGGTTAAGAAAGTACCAAATGACTTTTGAACAATACCTTAGAAAATCGTATTCCCTTGTAGGAGAATGATACTGTTGTATTCACAGTCTCTATAAACAAAATACAAAATACAAAAAGTTATTGGTCGTCATTAGGTGATTTCGGTTTGTTTTAATATGGAGTGAACCTTTTATAGTTTTACTACTGGCAGGAGCAGTCCCAAGCAAAATTTTACACAGAAATAACAAATCTTACACCCTGGCTACAAATCTCCTGTGTCTTTCTGTTACCCCAAGCCTCTCTCAGTACCAGCCTATATCTCCTCCCTTAGAAGATACAAACTTTTAAGGCCTATTGGTCTCAATAGTGAATGATGAAAAAGCTAGTGCTGATATACTTCATCCCAAATTATATATGCACGTATTTAATGCTGCTGCTCCTTTAGCAGGGTATAGTAGAGAAGATTCTTTCTAAAGGTGGAGGAAAGATTTGGGAGGCAGCCAGGATACCAAAGTTCTTTCCAGTTTCTCCGTACTGGAGAAAATATAAGTATTTAGTCAATGTTGAAATGCACAGCCATGGGCCTGGCCCAACAGAAGCTGGGAAACCCAGTGTCAGAAGTACAGGAAAAACCAGACTCCACTGACCGAATCAGAAAGAACAGCAAAGGAGTGAGCTTATAGGGTAAGGATAGAAAAATAGAAATATTTTAAATCTCCAACAAAAGCAATCGTGACCAAAAATATTTTTTAAAGTAATATAAATAGTCAAATGGAAAACAATAATGGTTATTGTTCTCAGAACTGGCTAAAGATAATCCTTAATAGCAAATGAACAGATTAGATCTGCATGTATATTTCTATTCTTGCAAAAAAATTTTATTAATTTTTTTCTGATGTGTCCTTAGTAGGAATGTTAATACACTAAGATGTTGGTTTTTTAGCTTAGTAAAGTGATAATGTCCTCATGATCTTTTGATCTTTTATTCAAGGCCAATCCAGTTCCAATTTAATAGTTCAACAAATATTTATTGGAAGCCTACTATGTATCAGGAACTGAGGAGACAAAGGTTGTACAACACTGTTCTTTCCCTCAAAGAGTTAAAGTTTACTGGGGATATAGACATTCAAAGTAATCATTCCAAATACAATATGCAAAGAAAAGATGCAGTAAGGACAAATGTACTATAGATTTTCAGTAATAGTGATGGCTGTGGAGCCAGAACTATTTGGACTTGAATCCCAGCATGTCTACTTACTCATGTGTGACCTTGGGTAAGTCACTTAACTTCTCTGTGTCTCAATAGCCATTTCTTACAATAGTCATTTCTTGGCTATTGTAAATAGTGCTGCGATAAACATAGGAGTGCATATGTCTTTTTCAAACTGGGCTGCTGCATTCTTTTTTTTTTTTGGTATCATTAATCTATAGTTACATGAGGAACATTATGTTTACTAGACTCCCCTCATCACCAAGTCCCCCCCACATACCCGATCACAGTCACTGTCCATCAGCATACTAAGATGCTATAAAATCACTACTTGTCTTCTCTGTGTTGTACAGCCCTCCCGTGCCCTCCCCCCATACTATACATGCTAATCATAATGCCCCCTTTCTTTTTTCCCCTCCCTTATCCCTCCCTTCCCTCCCATCCTCCCCAGTCCCTTTCCCTTTGGTAACTGTTAGTCCATTCTTGGGTTCTGTGGGTCTGCTGCTGTTTTGTTCCTTCAGTTTTTTTCTTTGTTCTTATACTCCACAGATGAGTGAAATCATTTGATACTTGTCTTTCTCTGCCTGGCTTATTTCACTGAGCATAATACCCTCTAGCTCCATCCATGTTGTTGCAAATGCTAGGATTTGTTTTCTTCTTATGGCTGAATAATATTCCATTGTGTATATGTACTACATCTTCTTTATCCATTCATCTACTGATGGACACTTAGGTTGCTTCCATTTCTTGGCTATTGTGAAAAGTGCTGCAATAAACATAGGGGTGCATCTGTCTTTTTCAAACTTGGCTGCTGCATTCTTAGTGTAAGTTCCTAGGAGTGTAATTCCTGGGTCAAATGGTATTTCTATTTTGAGTTTTTTGAGAAACCTCCATACTGCTTTCCACAATGGTTGAACTAATTTACATTCCCACCAGCAGTGTAGGAGGGTTCCCCTTTCTCCACAACCTCATCAACATTTGTTGTTGTTTATCTTTTGGATGATGGCGATCCTTACTGGTGTGAGGTGATATCTCATTGTGGTTTTAATTTGCATTTCTCTGATGAACTGGGCTACTGGATTCTTAGAGTAAATTCCTAGGAGTGGAATTCCTGGGTCAAATGGTATTTCTATTTTTTTAGTTTTTTTGAGGAACCTCCATACTGCTTTCCACAATGGTTGAACTAGTTTACATTCCCACCAGCAGTGTAGGAGGGTTCCCCTTTCTCCACATCGTCACCAACATTTGTTATCATTTGTCTTTTGGATGTTGGCCATACTAACTGGTGTGAGGTGATTGTTCCATTCATTTATATGTCTATTTTTTTGCCAGCACCACACCATTTTGATGACTATAGCTTTATAATATAGTTTGAAATCAGAAAATGTGGTACCTCTAGCTTTGTTCTCTTTCTCAAGATTGCTTTGGCTCTTTGTAGTCTTTTGTGATTCCAGATGAATTTTAGGATTATTTGTTCTAGTTCTGTAAAAAAATGGTATTGGTATTTTGACAGGGATTGCACTGGATTTGTAGATTGCTTTGGGTAGTATGGCTGTTTTAACATTGTTAATTTTTCCAATGCCTGAGCATGGAATATCTTTCCATATTTTTTTTCTTCAATTTCTTTCACCAATGTCTTATAGTTTTCTGAGTACAGGTCTTTCATTTCTTAAGTTAGGAAAATTAAGGTTACATTTATTTCTAAGTATTTTATTTTTTATTTTATTCTTTTTGATGGAGTTGCAAGTGGGGTTGCTTTTTAATTTTTATTTCTGCTAATTCATTATTAATGTATAGAAATGAAACAGATTTCTGTATATTAATTTTGTATCCTGAAACTTTGCTGAATCCAGTTATTTGTTCAAAGAGTTCTTGGTGGAGTCCTTAGGGCTTTCTACATATAGTATCACATTATCTACAAATAGTCACAGTTTTATTTCTTCCATACCAATTTTCAGGGGCTTTTTATTTCTTTTTCATGTTTGATTAGTATGGCTAGGACTTCCAATACTATGTTGAAGAAAAGTATCAAGAGTGGTAATCCATATCTTGTTCCTCATCTTAAAGGAAAAGCTCTCAACCTTTTATGATTAATTTTGATGTTAGCTGTGGGTTTGTCATATATGACCATAATTATGTTAAGATATGTTCTCTCTAAACCCACTTGTTGAGAGTTTTTATCATTAACATATGTTGAATTTTTATCATTAAAAGATGTCAAATGCTTTTTCTAGATGTATTGAGATGATCATATAGTTTTTATCCTTCATTTTACTACTATGGTGTATCATGTTGATTGATCTGTGGGTATTGAACCATCCTTGGAATAACTCCCACTTGATTGTAGTGAATGATACTTTTAATGTATTTTTAAATTCAGTTTGATAGCATTTTGTTGAGGATTTTTGCATTTATATAATCAAGGTTATTGGTCTGTAATTTAATTTTTTTGCAGTGTCTTTGGTTTTGGTATCATGGTGATGCTAGCCTCATAAAATGAATTTGTAAGAATTCCTTCCTGTTATATTTTTTGGAATAGTTTGAGAAGGACAGGTCTTAACTCCTTTAGATGTTTAGACATTCACCTGTGAAGCAATGTGGTCCTGAATTTTTATTTGTTGGGAGTTTTTTGATAACTGATTCAACTTCATTACTAGTAATTAATCTCTTAAGATTTTCTGTTTCTTATTGATTCAGTCTTAGGAGATTGTATGTTTCTAGGAATTTATCCATTTCTCCTAGGTTATATAATTTATTGGCATATATGTTTCCTAGTAGTTTGTTATAATCCTTTTTATTTCTGTGGTGCCAGTTATAACTTCTCTTTTGTTCCTGATTTTATATATTTGAGTCCTCACTCTTTTTTTCTTGAGTCTGCTAAAGGTTTTCAATTTTGTTTATCTTTTCAAAGGCCTAGCTCTTAGTTTCATTGATTTCTTTTTCTTTTTCTTTTTTTTTTTGGTCTATACTTTATTTATTTCCATTTTGATCTTTATTATTTGCCTCCTTCTACTAACTTTAGGCTGTTTCTTCTTCTTTTTCTAGTTCCTTTTGGTGTTAGGTTAAATTGTTTATTTAAGGTTTTCCTGCTTTTCTTAGGTACACTTGTATCACTATGAACTTCCCTCATAGAAATGCTTTTGCTGTGCCTCCAAAGATTTTGAACCATTGTGTTTACATTTTCCTTTGTCTCCTTGTAATTTTGGATTTCCCCTTTAATTTATTATTGGTTGGTTGCTACTAAATGACCTATTGGTTATTTAGTAGCATGTTTTTTAGCTTCCACTTGTTTGTGTTTTTTCCAGTTTTTTTATTGTAGTTGATTTCTAGTTTTATACCATTGTTGTCAGAAAAGATGTTTGGTATGATTTCAATCCTATTAAATTTATTGAGGCGTATTTTTTGTCTTAGGTGTGATCTCTCCAGGAGAATATTCCATGTTCATCTGAAGAGAATGCTTACTCTTCTGATTTTGGATGGAATATTCTTAGATATATCTTAAGTCCATCTGATCTAATGTGTCATTCAAAACCAGTTTCCTTACTTATTATCTGGAAGACTCTATCCACTGATGTAAGAGGAATGTTAAAATTCCCAACTATTACTGTATTTTTGTCATTTTCTCCCTTTATGTCTGTTAATACATGTTTTGTATATTTAGATGCTCCAGTTTTGGAAACAGAGATACTTAGAAATGTATCTTCTTGATGGGTTGATCCTTTATCATTATGTAATGCCCTTTTTTATTTCTTCTTAGACTTACTTTTAAAGTCTCCTTTATAATACAAGTACTGCTTCCCCCAGCTTTTTTTTTTTCCTTTCCATTTGCATGGAATATCTTTTTCCATACCTTCACTTTCGGTCTGTATGTATGTAGGTCTAAAGTGAGTCTCTTGTAGG